AAAACGGAGAACCCAACAAACAAAAAATCCACACATTTGTGCTTATACTGGGGGGCTAATCTCCCTGTATGGACTCCCGCCACAACTTATAACAATAACAAAAATAAAAAGTAAAAAAGGGGTTCCCTTACTTTAAAGTATTATTACTGTTTATGCTCCTTGCTGTACTGATAAATAAATCACTAACTAAGATCTGGACAGACCCCCCTGTGAAACTCTCGTACACAGAACAAAAAGAGGAATGTTGTCCCTGAGAATAATGTCTAAAATTAAATCAAAATAAAACGCGGGACATAAAGTTAAAAGGCTCATTACAACCTGACAGTCACAATGGATCGATGCGGGTTGGACCCGCTGTCAACGCCGGTCCTCGCTGTCCGTCGCCGAGATGATCCTCTTTTTTACATAGTCCATTGCTTTATTGGCATCCWGGAAYTCCTTGTTTTCTTTCCCATGAGAGATGCGGAGCCGTGCAGGAAAAAGCAGGCCGTAGCGAACATCACCTCTGTTGCGAAGAAGCCTCCTCACCTCCGTAAACGCCGCCCGAGCCCTGGCCACAGCCGCCGTGTAGTCAGATGTGATGATGATCTGTGACTCTTTAAAATGAAGAGGACCACGGCTTCGAGCCCRACGCAGTATTTCCACACATTCTTGATAATAGTGCAGCTTAGCAACAATGACCCGCGGCTTACCGCCTGACCTATTTCCACCGGAGAGCGATGGGCTCGGTCCAACAGTGGCTCTTTATCCATGTGTAGAACCTCTGCTAGCAGTTTAGCCACTGCTGAAGTGGAGCTGGATTCTGGCGTCTCAGGAACTCCAATAATCCRMACAYTGCACCTTCTCATGCGCCCTTCCATATCGTCACACTTCTTTTTGAGTCCATCGACTTCTTTCAGTTCCAACACGGTGGTGCGTAGATTAACAACCTCATCAGACCAGTTTGATAAACCATCCTCCATTTCTTTAACGCTTTGCTTGACATGGTCCAGATCTGCACGCAGTAGAATCGTGCCGTTAGCCACTTCCGCTCTCACCGCTTGAAGCTCCCCTTTAATAAGAGTAAACTCTTCAGCAAAAGCCGCTTTTATTTCGGATTTGATCACAGCTGAGAGATCGGTTTTTATAGCGGCAAGAATGTCCGACTTCAAGGAGAGTGCATCCGTCTCACTGCGAGAGGGGGAAGAGGACATCGAAGGTCTGGCTTTAGCTTTAGCTGCAGTTAGCTCTGAGGCGGCGTCAAGCCCAACAGTCGCAGAGCTAGAATGTTTGCCTCTTCTCGAGTTTGTCGCCATTCTTCTACTCTTCCAGGCAAGAATCACTCAGGAGTCGAGTGCAGATGGACCAAATGCTCAAAATAGCAAGGACATTTGGTATAGAACCACAAAATGAACAAGTCGGAGCGGGAGCCACGCGACACACGTCTCACTCCTCCGCCATCTTGCCCCCAAATTCAGAATAGAATTTAAAATATTACTTCTAGCATTCAAAGCTCTCAACAACCAAGCTCCATCTTATATCAAAGATCTTATTGTTTCACACTTTCCTAACAGAGCACTTCGCTCTCAGACTGCAGGTTTACTTGTGGTTCCTGGAGTTTCTAAAAGTAGAATGGGAGGCAGAGCTTTCAGTAATCAAGCTCCTCTCTTGTGGAACAAACTTCCAGTTTCTGTCCGTGAAGCTGACACTCTGTCTACTTTTAAGATTAGACTCAAGACTTTCCTTTTTAATAAATCATATAGTTAGACTTAGGTTTCCTGAATTATTCTTCATTTCTGCTGCTATAGACTTATGCTGCGTTCACACCGAACGTGATTTCAGCTTCAAAATCACATCCAACACTGGATGTTGGACACTTGTGCACTTTGAGTTCAGACGCAGGTCAGCTCTTGAAGTGCTGCACGGCAACAGCCTCCCCGCCCCTCCCTCCTCTGTCAGGCTCTGTTTAATGTCGGACGAGGAAGTGGCTTTGCTTTATTTACAGAGAGCAAGAGCACGTCACGTTCATCAGATAATTAATTCATAATTAATTCACCAGATAATTCAGAGACATTCTGAGTTTCATCACCCAGGAGCTGCGGGAGAGGCTCACAGCTCGCTTTCAGGACTATTTTTTGTCCCGAGTCCAGTCTGATGAGTCGCTGCCATGCATTGGTGCGGATATCTCCTGTCAGGACACCGACTGCAGGCACTCGATTTCAGCTAAAGAGCTCCTCTCCATCTGTTTCAGGTTAGTGGACATCATTCAATAAACTGTCCCAATGGGAAATCTGTCACTACGTCACACAGTGGAGTCTCTCTGATTGGTTGATGCAGCGCGTCGAGCTGCAAAAGTTCAGATTTTCTAACTTCAGCGATTTGCGTCTCAAGCACGTCGAAGGCTCAGATCGTTCAAATCGTTCAAATCGCACTGCTCTAATCACGCTGCTCGAATCCCAGTTGAGGCGCTGCAACACTTCCCGACGCTGATTGAAGCGCATCCACCATACACTTTGCATGTAAACCTGATGCTGAAATCGCGTTTGGTGTGAACGCAGCATTAGACTGATGGAGCACAAACTGAGCACATTTCCTCACTCTGCTGTTGTCTTTAGTCTCTCTTCTCTACGTTTTTTTTTATTACTTCTATCAATAACATGTTTTTTTTGTCTCCTTTCCAGAAGTAGGTGCACCTTGACCAGTTCTTCTGTGTTTGTATGCGTCTCTTTCCTGTCCCCCAACCCAGCCGGTCGAGGCAGATGGCCGCCTGTCCTGAGCCTGGTTCTGCTGGAGGTTTCTTCCTGTTAATAGGAAGTTTTTCCTTTCCACCATTTGCTCAGGATGGGAGACTGTGATGAAGTAATTCTACACAATCTGCTGGCTTCTTCTTTAGATTTTTCTTTTTTTCGTGTACAGTGCCCTGAGACAACATATATTGTGACTTGTCGCATATAAATAAACTGAACTGAATTGAATCTACTAAAAATTGGACTGAATACATGATGCAGGCAACAAAACATGAATATAATGCAAAAGGTAGCAGACCAAATCATCTTCTAGCACTGATGGAAACAAGAGGCAAAGAGAGCTACTGTATTTCATCTGTTAGATGCCCTGGTTGAGGAGTAGTGACATCAACTGAAAGCATTAATGAGGTCTTCAACATTTCTGAGCTTATATGCTAACAATATTACATCCTTTGGAGATGACTATTTGATTTTTTAAGGAATAAACATACTGATTCTAGCTAGGGAAGAAACAGAGTCTTTAGACTCACCCTTTACCTTGGATGAGCTACATAAAGCAGTAAAAACTGCACATAAAGGTTGCACGCCAGGTATAGATGGTATTCCTGTAGAGCTATACTGAACATTCTGGGATATTCTTAGAGCAATTTGTCTAGAAGCAATACATTATGTGGTTGAAGCAGGCACATTTCACCACAACCTTAACACGGCTCTATTTATGGTTATTCCTAAACAAGGGAAAAACCTGACTGACAAATTACAGACTAGAGAATATTTTCAAGTCTGCATTAATCAATGAAATCAAAGTGCTGGCCAACAGATTAGAAACAGTAATGGGGAAGCTAATACACCCAGATCAGACAGGGTTTCTCAAAAGTTGATCCCCTCAGGTAACAGTCCATGCCTCCTACACATCCTTAGCTTATCAAACAAATTACTTCCAGCCTACAGTCGGATGTTTATAGATACATAAAAGGCATTTGACCACATGCGTTTCCCTACTGATGGAGAGTCCTGGAAGAATTCAAATTTGGTCATAAATTTATTAGCATGATCCAAATGTATCTAACCCAACTGCACAGGTATGTGTGGAATAACATTTTCCAATTTGTTTCAAATCAGGAGAGGCAATAGACAAGGTGATCACGTGTTGCTGCTGATGTTCAATCTATCTATAGAACCACTAGCTAAATTAATTACAAAAAATACACAGATAGCCCCAATTACAGTCGGGTCATCATCACCACACTATCTATCACTTTACACAAACAACACATTAATATACTGTATATGACAGATATCCAAAATTCTCTCCCATAATTTATTGAGCAACTAGAAGGGTTTGGTCATCTTTCCAGATATAAGGTCAATTATGCAAAATCAGCATGTAATTTTAATCAATATGGAAGCCCATAAAGTAGTTCTACCACCCCTTATAGGGTTGTTGCCCCTGCGACCCGAAAGAAATTATATACTCTGGTATTAAAATGGCAAACTATAATTATTTTATAGCACTGAAAAAAATACTGAAGATGGAAGCATTTGCCATCCTCAGTCTTGGTCAGAATTTGAACTATTAAAATGAATATTTTACCCTGAGTAAATTTTATAAGCTCTATGGTACCACTTCTTCGTCCAGTAGGGTTACTGGCAGATACTTGACGAAATATTGTGTAAATATGTGTGGAATGGTAACTGCCCTGGTATTAAACTGTCAATTTTACAGTTGAAAAGGACCAATGGTGGTTGCACATGTCCCAATTTTAAGTTGAATAATTGGGATTATTTATTAAGGAATTTATGTTATTGACAAGATTATAAAAAGAGCTCTCCGTGGAAAGGTACAAAACAGGACCTTATACTACCTTGGTAGCTGAGACATTTTCTGCCTATAGGAATAACAAATAAAACATGTAACTTATTATATGGCCCAATTATGACACATATCTTAAGGATTTTCAGGGAAATTGGGATAAGTGTATAAAAACACTACAAGATCTCAATAAGAAAACTTTAGCTTCCATGAATTGATGTCAAAATACAATATTGATAAACAATCACGGTTTTTCTACTTCAGAATAAGGTCACTTGTAAGGCATATGGAGTTCCCTGAGTAGCAGAACTGAGGAAGCACCTAGAATAATTGTCTCTTGTGTTTATAATCAACTGATAACAGTAATCACCAGACCTTTGTTTGGAATAATAGCTTGGGAGAAGGATTTGGCCTCTTTGGGGTTTAAACCAGAATAGGAAATAATTTATCAGAATATGGAAGAAACTTCAAAGAATCCTAATTATTGTTATATTCATATGGAATTCTGTCATAGAGTATTTTTTTTGTTGTTGTTTGGCACCAGTCAGACACAAAATAGGTATCGCACCAGATCTGTTCTGCTCGTTCTACACCCCACTTCGGCATCCAGGATTTATAGACCAAAGCAGGATGTTGTTTTTTCTAAAATGGCTGGCGTTACTTTTTCCTTAGAACCCTGTGTACATTTCTAAATTGATGACTAACAGTTGAAATTGACAGACAGGGTTTGAAGAACTTGGCTAGCTGGACTAACTGCAGTGAAGTAAATCATTGCTCAAAAAATGGGAGTTTCCATACAGCACAGCCTTAGCTCATTAGCTTAAACTATATATGGACATTGCTTATCTGGAATTACCTTGAGCAGCCATCAACGGTGCAACCACCGAATACTGTAAAATCCTAGACTAATTTTATCAACAAAATTAAACAACAGCTTTCAAACTAGGATCTCTGGAGTAAAGATCTATACTTGGTGGACATAGGAGAGGACATAGGAGAAGATGAGAATTAATGTGATTTTATATGTCTTATCAGTTTATTCAAATCTTTAAAAGGAGTTTGAAATTTTATGTGTTGAACAGATGTTTAATACTAATCCAAACACTTAATAAAAACTTAAAGGATAAATGGCTGAATTTTTCTTTATCAGCTCAGCTTCTCTTCAACTCAGTCAAAAGTTTCAGTCAACAGTTCTCACGATTTCTGTTCTCACACCAGTTCTCACTTGACAACTATGACAAGTTGTTGTTTTTTTCCCCTCACTCTGCCTTTACAGGTAATGCCATCCAAGCTTTTGGGAATGGAACAGATATTGGGATTGGACCGCAAATATCTCCAGTCCAGACCACCACCACCATCACCACACCCAACCATAGAAAAATTATTGACAGCACCAGCAACAACTACATTAATACAGACCCAAACATCTACCAATTTTGTGGCAATTTACAGGTGAGACACACTCACAAATACAAGATTTTTATGGCTCTTTTCACACTAGTCCAAAAATTTTCTAAGACAGATTTTTTTGCTTGTCCACAATTAAAGTTTGGTTTTTGGTGAACAAAAAAACCCATTTTTTATTAAGTCTATAAACCTATAAACCTTAGGTGTATCTGAATTGAAAACTAGAATAATTCCTGGAGAAAGTATGAAAGGGTTTGATTTGAATTTACTGTTTGTTGGAGATCACTGTGATCTACTACCATTCCAAACTTGAGCCAAACGTCTAAAATGGCTGAGTTATTTTGAGTAATTTTGCATTTTAGCTATGGTGGCCATCTTGGATGTTTGATTTGGCTTCTGCCCTTCCCTGTAACTACACCACAATGGTAAATGGACTGTACTTGTATAGTGCCTTTCTATCTTATCAGGATACTCTAAGTGCTTTAAACTATAATCTGTGCCCTCATTTACTGATTCATACAGCACTCTATTAGATCTCACTACAAAGCTAACATGTAACCTACTGTTTCCAGGAAGACTCCCCTAACCACTCTGCCACAGCTACCCCACAATCTGGCCTTATGCTAATTCAACATGACACCCTGATTGCTTAGCAGTTTTAAGACATACAAAGCTGAAATTTGATGGGCTGGTAGCTGAGTGCTAACTCAACACATTCTGAATGCTAATCACATGTTAAAGCTAACTGCTAATGCTAATTTATAAAGGCTCTAATTGAGACATTTTAAGACTTCTAAAGCTGAAAACTGGTATTGTAGTAGCCAAGAACAAATTCTGAATGCTGAAAAAAAATTCAAGATGGCCACCAAAGGTCATTTGAAACTGCAATAAGTGGGCCATTTTAGGACAATTTGGGCTGAAACTGGTGTGGTGCTAGCTAGTCCTCATCAGATACCAAAGCCATATGAAAAATCCTACATGGATGAGAGACCAAAGAGGGCTTCTGTAAGGAAGGCCTCAATTTCCACATAAATTACATATTCCTCCAATCATTTACTCAGTTAATTTAGACAGTGTATACTTCTGTAGCTGTCATTAAAAACGAGCGATTTTAGATTTTCAAATTTTGTTTCCCTTATCATTTTTGGAGTCGATGTCGAGACTCATTTTGAAGATTAGATGGCCTCCCCCCGATTGGTGTTGTTTCGAGCAGGGTCGAGGTGAAGACAAGGGTGTGGTCAATGTAGGTTACGGTACCAAAGGTAGCATTAATCTACATTGCCCTGCAAATAAGTGAGATTTATCATTCACTGCATGTTGACAGAGTCAAATTTCATATTAGACTTCCATTCATTAACAGCAATACAAAACCTCGATTTCTTGGCTGTGGGAGCTCAGAACCAGTACAATGCTATTCACCGTCCCACAGTGATGTTTTTCCCGTGCCGAACAGATTACTAACAATGAAAGGTTTAGAACATATGCACATCAACCAAGTTAGTGGCTAAGCAATAAGATGTTAAAATGATTCAGCTCACTCTGCTGGTCAAGCCAAATAGTGTTTATTTAGCTGATTGTTATAACCTATTTGAAAATCTTTTAAGACTTAACTCTAGACTTAGTGTTTCTAAGTTTTACAAGAGTTTCCTCTTTTAGATTCGTTTTAAAGACCAATTTACCTTTTAAGGGTGTTTTTTATTGAAGGGTGTTTTATTTAGTGACGAGATCTTGATCTTTTGTTAGATTATCAAACGTCTTGTAAGGTTTGATTTGGTTGTGATGGACCCATTTAACGATTGGTTCTTTTTGTCCTTTGCTGATTTTGATCTGGTAGACAACTGAAGACAGTTTGTCTGTTATCAGGTGGGGTCCAGTCCACCTGGGCATTAGTTTGCGAGCGAGAGTTCCAGTCCTGGACTCTTTGTCCCTGTGTTGGAGTGAACACATAATACCAGACTTTTTCTGCCACCCAAAGTTCTTTGTGAGAGGCTTTTTGGTCATAGTATGTTTTGCGTCCCTCCGGACTTTTCAAGGTTTCTTTGAGCAAAAGCAAAGGTGTTTTTTAGGTGTTTCTCCAAATCTTTCATGTATTGTATGTATTGTATTATATGTATATGTCTGCATTATATGTATGTATTGTGTGGTGTAGGCCATCGCCATAGTGGTGTCACCAGGTTGGTACAAAAGATGTATGAGGAGCGCCATCTGTCGCCCAGTCATCATCTCGAAGGGAGAGATGTCTGTGGATTTGTGTGGAGTGGCCCTGATGGCCATGAGGACCATGCCAACTCTCCTGACCTGAACCCCAGAGAGAATCTGTGGGATATTGTGACAAAGTTCATTATTTTCTGTAATGTACTGATAAACATTAAACTTTCATATATTTTAGATTCATTGCACACCAACTGAAGTAGTTCAAGCCTTTTCTTGTTGTAATATTGGTGATTTTGGCAAAAAAGTAAAGAAAAACCAAAAATCCCTACCTCAAAAAATTAGCATATCATGAAAAGGTTCTCTAAATGACTTATTAAGCTAATCATCTGAAATAAACAAATTAACTCTAAACACCTGTAAACGATTCCTGAGGCTTTTAAAAACTCCCAGCCTGGTTCATTACTCAAAACCACAATCATGGGTAAGACTGCTGACCTGACTGCTGTCCAGAAGGCCATCATTGACACCCTCAAGCAAGAGGGTAAGACACAGAAAGACATTTCTGAACAAACAGGCTGTTGCCAGAGTGCTGTATCAAGGCCCCTCAGTGGGAAGTCTGTGGGAAGGAAAAAGTGTGGCAGAAAATGCTGCACAACAAGAAGAGGTGACAGGACCCTGGAAGATTGTAGAGAAGGGCTGATTCCAGACCTTGGGGGACCAGCGGAAGCGGTGGACTGAGTCTGGAGTACAAACTTCCAGAGCCACCGTGCACAGGCGTGTGCAGGAAATGGGCTACAGGTGCCTCATTCCCCAGGTCAAGCCACGTTTGAACCAGAAACAGCAGCAGATGCGCCTGACCTGGGAGAGAAGCAGCACTGGACTGTTGCTCAGTGGTCCAAAGTACTTTTTTTGGATGAAAGCTAATTTTGCATGTCATTCAGAAATCAAGGATCCAGAGTCTGGAGGAAGACTGGGGAGAAGGAAATGCTGAAATGCCTGAAGTCCAGTGTCAAGTACCCACAGTCAGTGATGGTCTGGAGTGCCATGTCAGCTGCTGGCGTTGGTCCACTGTGTTTTATCAAGGCCAGGGCCAATGCAGCTAGCTATCAGATTTTGGAGCACTTCATGYTTCCATCTGCTGAAAAGCTTTATGGAGATGAAGATTTCATTTTTCAGCACGACCTGGCACCTGCTCACAGTGCCAAAGCCACTGGTAAATTGTTTACTGACCATAGTATTACTGGGCTCAATTGGCCTGCCAACTCTCCTGACCTGAACCCCAGAGAGAATCTGTGGGATATTGTGAAGAGGAAGTTGAGAGACCCAAGACCCAACACTCTGGATGAGCTTAAGGCCTCTATCAAAGCATCCTGGGCCTCCATAACACCTCAGCAGTGTCACAGGCTGATTGCCTCCATGCCACGCCGCATTGAAGCAGTCATTTCTGCAAAAGGATTCCCCACCAAGTATTGAGTGCATAACTGAATATAATTATTTGAAGGTTGACTTTTTTTGTATTAAAAACACTTTTCTTTTATTGGTCGGATGAAATGTGCTATTTTTTTGAGATAGGGATTTTTGTTTTTTCTTTACTTTTTTGCCAAAATCATCAATATTAAAACAATAAAAGACTTGAATTACTTCAGTTGGTGTGCAAAAAATCTAAAATACATGAAAGTTTAATGTTTATCAGTACATTACAGAAAATAATGAACTTTATCACAATATGCTAATTTTTTGAGAAGGACCTGTATTTAAGATATTAGGGTCTCAAATAGACCTTATGTAAACTCTCTTCATGTTACAACTCTGTAATTCATGWGCCAACAATGTGCTCAGGACGACATGGGCCAAGGTGGACGTGCATACATGGGCTTGGACCCCGGTCATAACTGCTTTGCAGTTCTAGTTTGATTTGTTGTTGTTTGTGATGCATCCCACTGTTGTGTCATTTGGAAACTTCACTATATTACAGCTGGAGTGTCTTGCTGAGCAGTCATATGTCAGCAGAGAAAACAGGAGGGGGCTCAGCACACACCCCTGGGGTGAGCCAGGGCTTAGGGTGATGGAGGAGGAGACGGTGTTGAGGATTCTGACAGTCTGGAGGTCTTTTGCTCCAGGACTCAGTTCCCTAGTGTGGGACTTAGTCCAAGAGAGGAGAGCTTACGCACCACAGTCTGTGGGATGATGGTGTTGAAGGACGAGGAGAAATCCAGGAAGAGCATTTTTATGAATTCCTGCTCTCCACATGGGCGAAGGCTGTATGGACCACCGATGAGATTGCATCGGCAGTGGAGCAGTTCCTCTTGTAGGCATACTGATGTGGGTCCACATTGATGTCAATGGAGTCCTTAATGTGGGTCATGACTAGACTCTCAAAGCACTTCTTCACTACCAATGTATCGGGTGCATCTTGCTGTTCGGGCAACATTAATGTACAACTGTAAAAAGTATAGAGACCTTTTTTGATGTGGATAACAATAGGTGCTGCCATTCAAATGAATGGACTCTGCTCTCTTATTCATTTGATATGACAAGCCTTTATAAAGAGCTTCTTAAATCTCAACAAAGTAGCAGCTTATAATGGTCATGCCCACAATTATTTTGTGCCACAGAAACCTCAAAAATCATTGGCTTTTACTGCTTTTTTCTTAACTACAGCTGTCTCTTTTTATGTTGTCACTATTAAATTATTAAAATTCAGGTTAATGCCATTATTATTGGATCAATCGATACCCCCACCTCTCTGTTGTAAAAGTCAGGCAAAATGCATCATGAGTGTTCAGACTGAGGTTGCTATGTGAACGTCAGATATGTACCTGATTTAGTACCACATTCTGAAAAGGTCTGGGTCGACTTTGAAAAAATCAGATTTGTCACTATTGGACCGT